TAATTTGAAGGAAAATCCATTTCCCGCGTTCATCCTTCTGTTCATATTCAGTGATTTTGAGAAATGGAGTCATTCGGAAGTATCACGAATGATAGCATATGCCATCAGCAACCAAAAATGCTCAGTGTGTCCCTTTTTTGAGAGTTATCTGAAAGCAAGCTGGTGGCGGATTTGACTCTCTGGTATTATCGTTAAATGAGAAAACAGACGTGGGAAGACTATTTGCGCTCCACTGGTGGAATCGAACTTTTGATTTTTAGTACGAGAGCAGCGCTAACTGCCACCGCGCAGTTTTTTTTTTTTACCTGGGAGCCACCTCAGTTTAATTCCTCTCCTAAAGTATTTCAACGATTTGTGTTGACAAAATGCTTCTTCCGCTAATTTTGCCACCCCTTCAGCTACGCTTAATCCTTCCTGGTCGCCGAAGAAAAGCATATTTTTTGTTTTAAGAGAAGTGAGAGAAGTGAACGAAGGTGCAGTAAGCTTTCAAAAGCTGTGAATGGGGAACTGTATTCAACGTTGATGAAAATGGAGCTGACCAAAGAGCAGAAGCTGGCAAAACTGCAGCAATTGTACGAGGAAGAGATTGATGGCTATAAAAAAGTGATTAAACGACTGCTTCAGTATTCCAATGTTATAATTTGAGTTTCTTCATTCAAATATGGTTGTGTGATGTCGAAGCTGATCATTCATGTGAAAAAATGCGTCTTTGTTATGACAAAATGCTATCAAAAATTTCCGGGGTCTGATTTTCCGTCTGTGCCTCTGACAGTTTTCCCACCCACTTAGTCTTGTGTTTTCACCATTAGCACGATCACATTACTTTTGCGTTAGTGAATCGACTCGAAATGTCACTGACCTTCCTAGTGTTCTAAATCAGAGGGTACCATTCGGCCATTTGTTTCGTTCATCTGTTGTCTGTCATTCTTGCCACATGACCAGCACAAAAAAAAGTGATAAGGTAGTCAAGTATGTCTTATATTAACTGGAAAAATTGATAACTGTTGCTCTTGGGCCAAATTTAACAGAATATCTGTTTACATTAATCGATCGACTTTACCGCAAACGCTTGATACTGTAAAAATTACTGGTTTTAACTGACCTGCCCGATTATGGACGCTTTATCTTCGGCCCTGTTATGTACGCATTAATTTGATGAAAATTCATTAGACATATGCATATTGTATTTGGCACAGCTGTACTGAATGTCTTTTTAATTTTTGGTGGTCTTTGCATTTGTTTGTTTTCAACGATGCGCTCAGTTTGCTGATTTTTTCGTTAGTTTTTGTGCTTTTTTTTCTTTTTTGCATCTATGCAATGAAAAAATGCATATTGTCGAGGGGTTGTCTGTGTGTGTATGTGTCTGTGTGTTTGTCTGTACCCATTTTTCATTTCGAGACCTACAAAAGCTATAAGGCTGAAACTTTGGTAACTTAATCTACATGCAAACACGGACCGTCATCCCAAAAATGGACGTTCTTGCCCACGTACGGGCCCGTCAAAATTTTTGGTAGATAAGGTGCTAGCTCAGGAACATGAAAAGCTAGAAGGCTGAAATTTTAAGATTTCCCCGTCCACGTAGAATTTAGTGAGTTCAAATTCTGCCTCCAGGTGTGCGTGGTCCCCACGTACGGGCACGTGGAAGTTTTTTGCAAGTTGTTAACCGGGTAACCTGAAAAGCTAGAGAGCTGGAATTTTAACAAAATTTTCCCCTGTCCACCTAGGTTTTAATGAGTTCAAAGTAATATGCGAGGCATACGAGCTTCCCACGTACAAGCCTGGAAAAGTTTCTTGCGAGTAAGTTGCGAACTCGGGGACCAGAAAAGCTAGAAAGCTGAAATTTAAGCGGATGTAACAGTTCTGGCAGCCAGACTCAATTCATTTTAGAAGCGTCTTTCAGAAAAAAAAACTTGTGCGGTCAGCGACGAAAACCTGCGGAGAATTATGCAAAAAACCCATCTCCGCATCGGCGTTTGGTGCACTTGCCATTTATTTTTCTTTTTTTGGACCACTTGTTATTGATTTCATTGATTTTGATCTGAAAATTTGGCTGTTTACTGTGCTTGCTTACCGGGACTCAGCTCGGCAAAACTGGGCTCACGCCAGTGGCAAAAGGCTAGGCTTTTATTTCACTGACATCATGTGCCGGGAATAAAAAGTTGACATGTTGGGGTTTATGATTGAGGGGGAAAAAGGACGGGGTTTGGGATTGAGGTTAAAACCGCTGGTGAACAACTACGAATGCAAGATGCTTATATTATGAATGCAGAATTACTGAATACAGTTTTCGTGCTGAGGAATTTGAGAGATCTGTTACTGAAAATGAGGTGAGAGAATCCCCAGGCGAAGAAAGCTGATGGACACAAGATACCTTTAGGAAGGGAGGAAAAATGAGATTTTGGAAATGAACCCTTCTGAAATTTTGTATTTTTTCGTCGTTGGATTGCTATAAAACGCCAATTGTAGATTTGCATTTGCAGTGAGGGAAAAGTGGAATTTTGGGAAAGAAGTCCAAAAAAAAAAAAATTTTAGGAAAGAAATCTTGAAGAAGATTTTGGAAAAAAATAAAAACAGCTTCAAAAATTTGGAAAAGAAGCCTTTTTGTCATATAGCATATGTTGAAGGGATTTGAGTATCGATTAGCCGGTATCAGGACTTGTGGAATTACGGATTGCTTCTAAATAGCGATTATAACGTTTTATTGCCTCATTTTGTCAGTCCTGAAATAGCGGTCTTGTAGAACAGTGTATTTTTTTGCTATGTTTGAATTATATGTGTAATGTCTGTTTTTGTGCTCCGACATAGACGGATCCGGGGATGTGGTGGGGGGAGGGGGCAGTTTTTTTCCAAAAATTTCAGTCTGTACCTTTCCTACGACTCAAAAAAAGGGGACCTTGGACTTGAAAAAATCTTTTGAAAACCTTGGAAAACTTGAAAAAAAAAATTTAGACCTTTTTAAAAAAATCCAACTTCTTTGCACATATGGATTCTGAATACAGTTAAAAATTATTGGGACACGCATACAAACAGAAATTTAAGTTGAAATGCATGGAGGAAAATTTCTTCTTTTCTGAATAAAAGCGTTTTTCCGGATTTTCAGTATGTTCATTTTCAAGATAAAACAATGCATAATAACAGCTGAGGCATCCAATTTATTGGCATTTTTCAGCAAAGTACAATGTTTTTCTTCAAAACGCACTGCATATATAAAACAACCAAATAGGGTGCAACATACAGCAGATCATCAGATCTAATTACTGTGTAGCAATACCAAGAACAGAATCCAAATTAATATTCTAAATTAAAGCATAAAAATAACGAGTGTTGTGCTGTGTAACAGCAGTACAAAACGCATACTGTCACGGGGTTGTCCGTGTGTGTGTGTGTGTG